CCTCGATCCCCCACTTCCATCTATGTTCTACTGGTTCCTCCTTGTTGTTCATCTATGTTCAACTGGCACTCTTCTTAACGTTGGCAGACAACCTCCACTTATCAGTGAACTTCTTCGCCGCGTCAACTTGCAGTTGCAGTCCCTCAGGGGTGTCCGACATACCGACAAAATCATCCGCAAACAGCATTCCTGAAACCGACGTTTCCGTGTCCCCTACTTTTACTCCCTTCCGGACTGCCTCTACGACTTCCAACAGATCGTTGATGAACACCTGGAACAATGTTGGGGACAGCGTGCAACCTTGTGGGACCCCCAGCTCAATGTCCAAGAATTTAGACAGTTCTCCGTCTGGCATGACCGCGCTTTTCGTACACTCTGTCATCTTCTTCAGCACTCTCCACATTTTCCCCTTGATCCCGTATTTGGACAGTTGTTTCCACGGCCCATTTCTCCATACGGTGTTGTATGCCTTTTTTACGTCCATGAAGAAGCAGTACGTCGGCTTTCCCGCCCTCTTTTTCCCTTGGATGATTCTCCCTACCGTGAATGCGTGGTCTACACACCCCCTCTTCTTTCGGAAACTTGCCTGGCCCTCACTAATGCTATGTTCCTTGTCCAATACTCCCTCTATCCTGTCGTTCAGCAGCTTACAGAACTTTTTCCTACTGCGTTCAACAGTGTGATCCCCCTGTAGTTTCCTGGGTCAGCCTTATCTCCTTTCTTTAATAAGTTCACGACCACTCCTTCCCTCCATCTACTTGGCGTATACTCGGGGGGGGGGGGGGGGGGGGGGGGGGGGGTGTAGGCATTTCGTCGGGATCCTCAAACAAGTCTTGGTTGGGCGATTTGCGTAGGTAGACCCACGCGAAAGAATAGCGGCCTGACCCGGCACCCAAGGCTTGTATATATATATACCACCGACTACGCTTTCAATTCCTTCAACAACAATTCCTTCAACAAGCCAAGAGCTTGAGGCTTGGAAAGCGGCGAGCGCAGCGGCGACTGACAGACTCTACACCCATCCCCAGCCCCCGCTTCGACGTCGGAACAGGCTATAAAGTAGTATATGCCATGTTGCCACGTCTTCCGTTAGTCAACAGGTTCGCCATCGCTCCGGCAAAAAATATCAGGGATGGAGGGGATTCAGATCAGAAAAAGTACTTAGTATGTAATAGTATGTATTGTGCCCAATCACGCCAAGACCACGCCAAAAAAAGCAGCAGCAGCAGCAGCAGCAGCAGCAACAGCAGCAGCGCAGAAACCACTACGCGTGGTGTCAGCCACTCGAGAGCGAATATCGTTCATAGCCAGCCTCACCTGACTCTAAGGAGGTACTCTTCAGCCGACTCGGGGGGGACCCCCTGTTTCATGCGCCGCCGGACCTAAAGGGGGGGGCACGCAGCGGGCGCGCGCGCGGGGGGGGGTTGCGCATACAGCAGCGTGGACAGATCCGGAGAGTTGAAGTTGATTTGATTTGCTGATACGTTGAGTGATGGCTACGGTTTTAGGCCAGTTGTTTGGGAAAAAAATCCGAGTCGGAATCCGGGGAATCGACAGAAAAATGCTAAACTACCCCCAAAATGCATGTCTGCGTACTGGATAGCCCGCAGAGCGCACCAAGGCCCTTCGTCAGTTCGTCCTCGCCTCACATACCCCTGTTTGTTATCTAACCGATAAGGCGGTACACTCCACTTCTGCGAGCTTCTCAGAGCCAAGTTTGGGCAGCTAGAGTGCAGTTTGCGCCGAGTATGCCTCGGACATGAAAGCAAATTCAAGATTCCCAGCAAGGAATTTCAACCAATTCCAGTTGGAATTTCATGAGGATTTCCAACCACGATCGTCCCAACATTTCCAAATTGGAATACCTGTTGTACGAGCATGATCAACACACACTGCACCCCAGCTCCCCCACCTTGACTCGAAGTGACTCACAGCAATGCACTGACTGTGCCGCCTCGAAGGTTTGATTGCGAACGGGTCTCTGTGAGGCGAGTGCTAAGTGCCAAAGTCGGTCTGCGTGCTTTTCAAACGAAGCGAGCATAACTCCTGCGACGTCATGTGGGTTTGGATGTTGAAGGCGTAAATTCTGGATTCCAAACCGGAAAACCTCTCCACAACCACTGGCCTTAAGAGAGACTATTTAAGAGAGTAAAATCGGTTTGCCACGCCTCTGGCCAACGTGTATGCACAGGTGCAACAGGAGGCAACGCCGAGGGGCGGGGGGGGCGGGGGCGGGGTACGCACACAGCAGATGTGGATTGTTTGATTGCTTGATGTATTGTAGTGGTGGCTATATACACTCTCCTTCTTCCCCTCGTGCCTCGACAAGGTTTTGCGTAGGCAACACCCATAGGGAGGGGGGGGGTAGGGGTACTCATAGTCGTGCATGCCGTAGTCGTTAGACCATTGACCTCGCATCCCTACAAAGCCGGGACGGAGCACGCCGGGTTCTCACCGGACCAG